AAAAAGAGAAAGAGACGAAAGGCTATTCGAGAAATTCGAGAAGAAACTATGCGGTGATTGCTCGTGAAACGACCACGTTTCCGCACCGTGTCGAACGGGAATAATCCGTTTCTCGTTTGGCGTGCCGCGTCTCGAAAGACGTTCCTCTCGATAAGCGAAAGGTACGGAACGATAAATAACACATTCGTGACGCGAGGAGAACTAAAAACGCGAGATAAACGACACACGGCAGACTTTATTTTACGCGCGCGTCACGTTCGATCTATTTGTATTACGACGTACCGTGTAACATTTACTTGGACGCGCGTGTGAGTGCGTGCGCGCGGACGCGAGCGTAACAGTTGCATCGTACGTATTATGCCGCGTTTATAGTAATCGGCGTTTTATACGGCCGAACGGAGGGAGTAGGTCGTGCTCTTTTCCGCAAACGTGTTATAAACGTTAAGGCGTATTCTCGCATAAGGATCTCGGGCTTTTTACTCGGCCCACTCTCGGGAGGCTAAAGACCCCGACACACCTGTAGACGAGAGAATCTCGAGTCGCGAACGCCGGATAGGAGGACAAATCTCCGGGAATACCTCGAATGTATCGAAAGTTCAAGGCGAACCGTGGTGTCCTCCTCCTTGCTCTCGCCGTTTCCTTCGATTAACGATCACCGATTCCTATTTTTCTTCCATCGCCTTTCGAACGTACATAAGAGTCGCTTTATATTTTTTCTTTTTTTTTTTTTCCCCCCGATTTCTCTTGAACTTAAGATAGATATCAAACAACTCGAATCAAAGTCGTCAAAGGAATCATCTTTTTTTTTTTTTTTTTACGATACATTCGATATCTCATAATTTCTGCGTTCGTGGACAAAGGTCTATAGTTTTAATGTTTAATCATCATGTGATATTTATTTGTAGATTTCTTTCGGATAAAGAGATGTGTTTCCGATTTAGATAACGGCGAAATTTTTCGCGTTTCCAGGTAGTTTCGTTAATTATCATTTACACCGCGTTAATTGGCCGGTAAATATCGCTACTCGTATTTATTCGTGTTTCTGCTGCACGGTGCGACGGCGATGTTTCGCGCGCTACGTTTAATTTATACTCTCCCGAAGCGAAGATTCTCAATTGATACGCTGCGCGTCGTGTCTCTGACGCTCGTAGCTCTGTTCATTCAAAGATGCCTTCGCTTTCTCGTATACTGTATCTAGCATCGACCGTTTAATGCTCTCCATCGAATTTTGAAAACAAGGAATATTATATCCTCCTATTTTGTCGCCCGATTTTCGAGCCGGGAGAATCTGATGCTCTAGAAAGAAAGAAGAGAATAAAGGGAAACGTATACACATATATCTCGTGGCGCTTATTCGTTCTCACAGGCCATTAAAAGGGCGCGTTTGGAGGTCGTTTCGATGATAAAATCGAGGAGCTAGGAGATCGGTTGTCGTCGTCGTCGTCTCTCTCTCTCTCTTTCTCTCTCTCTCTCAGATAGGTTTTTCGAAGGGGAGGGGGGAGGTGTAAGAGGGAGGCAACGCGAACCGCACGACGGCGACCAAGACGACGACCACGACAACGACCAAGACGACGACCAAGACGACGACGAAGACGACGACGGGAGAGAAGAGCAGGCAAGCGAAAGAGAGCGTCGGTGCGAGAGTGTCTATTTACGAGTTGTCCGGCGCCGTGATGTCCGGAGTAAAAATACATCGTAGTCCGTATGCTGTGCGCCACACAGAAACCCTCTTGTAATTCTCCAATGCTCTCGAGCTGCCTGCCTGGCTGCCTGGTTGCCTGTTCGCCTGCTAGCCTGCCTGCTCGCTCGCTTGCTTGCTTGCTTGCTTGCTTGCTTGCTTGCTTGCTTGCCTGCCTGCTTGCTTACCTCTCCCTCTTTTCCTCTTCTCGCTTCTTTCCCTTCTCTATCCTTGCCTCTCTCCACCTAGCCCTCTCTCCCTCCCTTCCTCCCTCCCTCCTCCTCCGCCCTCCCTCCCTCCTTCCCTCTCTCTTTCTCCTTCCCTACTTCGAACTCTCTTGGAACGAATCCAACCGCTCCCGGAGAGACCCGCGACATGTAGCTTTTGGAACACACCGCCGCTCTGTATTCTGCTATGCCACCGATCACGCATCCCGGAGATAGATTTTCAATTTATTTCTCTCCGCCCTCCCCTCCCCTCGCATAGCCGATTTTCCTGTTATTTTTCCAACCAACGGGGGAAAGGTGTGCTTCTCTCGAGTCGATCACGGGACGGATGAGTCGGAGTGGGGGACGGCGGTAAAGAAAGGCGTCATCCTCGAACATCGTACGAAGAAAAAGTGATAATTATAATTATTCTCTTCGAAGATGGAGAAGAGGAAATATAAGAATTTTCTTAATCACGATCGACGAATGAATCGTTGAAGGGGGAGGAGGAGGAGGAGGTATCGGTTGTTTAAAGAGATCGAGGGATCGATAGTTTTTTTTTTTTTTTTCTCTCTCTCTCTTCTCTCCTTTCATTCTTCTTATCCCGCGGGCTGGTGTTCGATGGCTGGATCTCGGGAAACGAGATGCAGCTTAACACGGTCGATCAGATATATCCCCGATTGGATAATGCTCTTAATGTTAAAATTACGTCAAACGTAGTTCTGTTCCGCGGGTATTATTAACCGTGTAAGAAGATTTGTTTCTCGCTCGAAAATACCGCGAACCAGTGTGCACGATACCGGTGCCGATTTAAACAACTTGTTTATGTCCCTCGTTGATCGTTTAAACGAAACGCATTAAGTCATCGTGCATGGAATGCAAACGGGGTGACACTTTTGCCAAAATATTAAGAGAAGCCCGAGTCTTTTGCCGTCCCGTGAGGCGATTCAAGAAACGTGTGAATTGTTCGGGGAACTCGTGGCCCTCTCTCCCTCTCGCGATCAGTTACAAACTTAGAGAACGAATTTCGGGAATTATTATTATTATTCGAAAATGTTGCTTACGTCGAACGTGAAAAATTTGCCACGCAAGATGAATCGGATCGGATAGATATATATATAGGTGATACATCGTCGTTCGGTCGGAAAATTTCGATGTTGGAGCACACGGGTGTCGTATTAAGCGTGGCGCATGTTCGTCCGTTGTCTAAAATTTCTTTGGAGTCAGGCAAGGTAGGCTGGTTCGCAAAGGTATTCGTTTCACGAAGGTAAATAAGAAACGGTGGTGGACGGTATAGCGTTTTCCACTTCCTCCCGGTTGAAAAATGACACGTGAGTAAGGTAAATACGTTAGATAGAGGGAAGACGACGGGATCGGCAAATCACAGCCATTAGCCGCTATTTTTGTCGACCGAGAGACGCGTAGTGTTTTCGTGCAACTAAAGTCGTTTCGAACTAAACGACGTGGCTCCGCATCCTCGCCCCCGTCACCTAACCAGCCGCTATGCTTCGCGATTTAATTAACCACGATCCTCTTCCCAGTGTACGCAAGAAGAAGAAGAAATTAATTCGACCGGGTGCGAGTCACGTTTTCAAGGACCCACCCGTTTTCCCCCCGTATAGGAGGGAAATTGTGCGCGGTAACTTCTGAAAATGGAACGGTTCAGGTTCATTACGTACGCAGAAACACGGTACACAGTCTAGCCCGCCGTTTCTGTTTCCGCGAAACAGCTTTAAAATACGATACGATGTCTTCGAACGCGACCACATTTCGAATGTGGTTTTTTTCCCTTTCTTTCTCGATTCTTCGAGAACTATTTACCCCCGATTTACGACGAATCGACGAAGGAGGGAAATCTCTTCGGGAGATTTTCGGGGATAAAGCGCGCCGGCCTCCATTCAAAGAGGAAAAATTTCGTGAAATACATTTTATTCGAGACGTTAAAACTCGTGTGCTAACTACCGCTAGGCGCCTGCTGTTACTCCTTCGCGTCGTCTTTTGAATGGAACTATTTTTAGAATGCGCCTACTATATGTGGATAACTGTACGTGCCGTGGCGTATTCAGTTTCTGCACGGAGCCACGCTATACGTACAAAATAGCACCACGTCTAAATGTGTTATAATTTTATTTTCCAGCCACCTGACGCGAACCACGACATGGGAAGATCCACGAAAAACAGCGGCGGCAGCGAACGTGGCGGCTGTGGCCGCAGCCGTCGACAATGGAAAATCCTCGACCGCCGCTACCAATTCTCTAGGTCCGTTGCCCGACGGATGGGAACAAGCGCGTACTCCCGAAGGAGAAATCTATTTCATTAATCATCAGACACGCACCACTTCGTGGTTCGATCCAAGAATCCGTAAGTTTCTGATCGCGTAGGTTGTTACCGATAGAATCTTTGCTTCACTTCCTTTCCTCCCTCGTCTTGGATAATTTTTATTCGGATATTCGATCGAACGAATAATTATCGTCATATTTCAGCTACTCATCTCCAAAGGGCTCCAACCTCAGGTGCAATGTTACCGCAAAATTGGCTTCAACAGCAACAACCTACAGGTGGTGGTATTCAGAATAATCAAACATTGCAAGCGTGTCAACAGAAACTTCGCCTCCAGTCGCTACAAATGGAACGCGAGCGTCTCAAACAACGGCAACAGGAAATTATACGTCAGGTAATTACACGAGTGTGTTCGATCGCTACTGTTTCCGATATTAACGCGCCGATATTTTTCACCTGTAGCAAGAGCTAATGCTTCGACAGAGCACCACCGATGCCGCCATGGATCCATTTTTATCGGGAATCAACGAGCAACACGCACGTCAGGAAAGCGCGGACAGTGGTCTGGGCCTTGGCTCTGCTTATTCTCTTCCTCACACACCGGAAGATTTTCTTGCAAATATCGACGATAATATGGATGGCACAAGCGGTAAGATAATGTTTCATATTTAGCATCGTACGTAGTATAATGATAAGGATAATTGGTTTAAACATTTTTCCATAAACTTTCGATTCGTTTCGCAATTTCGGTTTATTTTATGTATCAGTGTTAAAAGCCTTCTTTTGTTTTTTTTCTTTTTAACAGATGGCGGCGCACCCATGGAGACCCCGGATCTTTCTACTCTGAGCGATAATATCGATTCGACCGATGATCTTGTTCCATCGTTACAGGTACCTATTGGAATTGAATCGGTATATTTAAAAGTAATTATATAGAGTGTTTCGTAATCTTTTTTTTTTTTGTAAACTTTGTTTTTAGCTGAGCGAAGATTTTAGTAGCGATATTTTGGACGATGTGCAATCGTTGATAAACCCTAATACGACAAAACCTGAAAACGTGCTGACGTGGCTGTAGTATGGAGGAGGGAATTGTCTATGACAGGCAAGCGATTTATGAAATTGATTCGTTACAAAAAAAAAAAAAAAAAAAAAATTGCAATTTCAATACGTCTAAACTGAATGGAACGATTCTAGAGGATCTTACCAATAAAGTAACGACTATTCCATAAAAAAAAAAAAAAAAAAACGCACGTGAACGAGAGAAAAATTTAAAGTTTAAGTAGAAATGGAGCCTTAATTACGACGCGTTATGCTCAACGTATATACGAACGTGTATACAGCAACATTCGCAGGGTGCCCTAGAAATGTTGACAATCATGCGGATGATCGTACTTTTTATTGAATTCTATACCGTGAATTTCTTGTTATTTGACATTGTTTGTCGAACAACAAAAGATGGTAAAAAATGATGAAAAATTCGAAGCCTTAAAGTCTAGTGTTCATGGCAAGCTTGTCGAGTCTTCCTGAAGAAAATTTTTGAGAATGTTGAGCAGGCCGTATTTATCATATATGAGGCTTCTGGTGGAGCTAAGTTTATCTTCATCTTTTTTTGCCACCTGTTGGAATCGAATAAAGAATACGATCTTTGATATTGTATTTCGAGATTTTTAGGACATCTTGTATGTAAATGAAGAACGTATTCGGATCCTTTCTCTTTCTCTCTTGTTATTAGAGTATTTGAGTGTTCGTATGTTTGTATGCGTGTATGAGTGCGTTTGTCCCCAACATTTTGTATATAAGTTTGTATTTCTATACTAAAGCATATATTGTACGTTAGGGAGCAAGAGAAAGGACTGAATATTATGGGTAATAAATATTTAATGTGCGTACCGCTCGGGTTAACGAAGGGAGAGCGTAATGGAAGAAAAAAAGCTCGATATACTTCCCGATAGTATGGAGTAGACAAGTAAATTGTTGTTTAATTATATTTATATCACGTTGGTTTACAACAAAAATCTGATATCATGACATATCAGATTTTTTTTTTTTTTTTTTTTTTTTTTTTTTTTTTTTTTTTTTTTTTAGGATCATCGATCTCGCGTGTGATTTAAATTTAAAAGAAGGAAAAGAAAAGAAAAAAAACATCATACCTGATGTGTTCACGGAATTTCAACGTACGTTGAAAGATCGTGAAACGAAATGAGAAATAAGTGCAATTATTATGAAAATGTGTAGAGGGAAGATAAAGGAAAAAAGAGAGGGAAGAGGGTATGATGTTCGATATTTTTATTCGAATATTCATGTAGCGGTGATCTTTATACAATATTTACGGAAGCAACGGCAGCGTCTAAAAGTATCGAAGCATTTTTAACACACGGACACACTTGTCTATACTTTGAAGTTGACATATGGAGTAAATCGTGTTACGTGTATGATTCAGGTTCGAAACAGATTTCTTCGAATCGTGTGTCAAATGTAAGTATATGTATATATATATACGTACGTATAAGCATATGTATATACACGGTATATATATACACATACATATACACTACAATCGAGTGTCGATAATGCTCAGACTATTTTACAAGCGATATGCTTAAACGAAGTGCCTTTTCATTGCAATCGATTAGAACGACGATACTGATCGTCATTTTTTAAAGCAATAACCGTCCATACGAGATGTTTATGAATGAACATGTGGTAATTGTTAAAATAGACAAACACGTTTTTAGACCCTTTTAAATACTTTGAAGAGGGGAACACAAAATGAATATATATATATTTTTTTTATATATAAAGTCTATACTTGTTACGAATTGCAGTTATTGGTATTTTGAAATCACTGTTAGATTGTAAAATTCTCTTACGTTTTATACTACATACAGTTATATAATGGAGATTACAAAAGGAGAGTATATGATATTTATAGATTATCTTTAAATATCTTTTAGCCTTAAGGATTTTTCCCGTTCTTCCTTCCCTATGCTTTTGGGAGTAAGAACGTCGAAAGAAAGAAAGAAAGAAAGAAAAAAAAAAAAAAGAGGCCGTTAATCTTGTACTTTGTCTACGTTTCTCGCGAAACAACCTGTAGTAATGGTTATTACCGAATAATCAAAGCGACACGGTAAAGAGGAGACAACGTGCGTACACGTATATTTAGTTACATGGCAGCTTAAGTGTAATACATACATCATTAAAAAAAGAAAAAAAAAAAAAGAAAAAAAAAGAAAAAAAGAAGAAAAAAAAGAAAAAAATAAAGAACAGAGGAAACGGAGGTTGACGTAACTTTCTATTGTTAGTCCGAAATAATGCGGCGATAACGTTGATAAGTTCCGTACCCCAGTGATAACGATCACGCAATCATCGAATTTTATCCGACTGATTTATTCCATATTTTATGTTTTTATTTCAGTAGTTAAAAAGAAAGAAAAAAAAAAAAAAAAAAAAAAAAAAAAAAAAAAAAAAGAAAGAAAGAAAGAAAAGGGAGAAAAACAATTTCATTTTTCTCGAATAATCAAAATATTATCTTGTTAAACTTTCCTTGTTGATCATGGAATATATTCATTGTTATTGAATCGTCGCAGTTACGTCTGCCAACCGCGATTGTGTCCATCGAAGATCATGTAATGTTTCATTAAGAAATTAGAAAAAAAAGAAAGAAAGAAAGAAAGAAAGAAAAAAAAAATCGGAAAAAAAAAAACGAGAGAAACAATCGGAATTGTAAAGCTCTCCTGCCTTTTCCCGTAGTAAGGAAAAGTTTCGGAGATGCAAATTAGATTTTTTTTCTTTTGTAGTTATTCGCACGCCTGGTTTCATCTTTCTACTAGCCGTGCGAGTAGCGCGAGTATTCGACCTCTTTTTATTTTTTAATGAAGTAATAAAACGATCATGTAATATTCATTCGATATTTGTGTTACTATCTGTATTATTCGACTGAAACTTGGAAAGCGATCGCTATGTATAGTAGCAAACGTGTAGCAAACATAAAACACAGTAGACCTGATTGATGATGCTTATTACGTCATCTGTCTAATAATAATCATTATAGAGCGAAAATATTTTATTATTAATCTCTTTTATCGACGAAGATTTCTGTGCAAAAATTATTATTATTATTATTATTGTTATACTTAGACGAATATTAAACGATTACATAAACGAAGGCACTGTTTAGCTTAAGAAAATTTATATCAAAACAATTGAAACAGTTTAATTAAGTAGTATGCATTTGTACATATATTATGATTATTTTTTAAGAAGCACAAAAATTTATTACTTTAATCTACGATGTCTACTATGTTTTCTGTTATAATGGTTATTATATATCCGATTGTAATGCGAATTTTATACGCGAAGATCTATTTCTTCTTCTTTTTTTTTTTTTTTTTTTTTTTTTTTTTTTTTTTTTTTTTTTCTCGTGAACGCGATCCAGGAAAGTTACCATCGTTAACGAGGATCATGTAATCTATGCGTATTACATGATATATGCATTACTCTCGATGCGATAGCTTCCAGGCGTGTCAGGTCAGATACATTTAATGTATTATTTTTATTGCTAGTTAACGATAATATTAATATTACCATACCGTATCTTGCTTTTAGTCTAAACTCAATTTTTAGTTGTTACGTTCAGGGGCGGGGGAGCATCGCGTGGAGGTGGAGATACCTCTTGCAAAGTGCCTTTCAATTTTAACTCAAGGAAAAAAAAAAAAAGGAAAAAGAAAATTATGTGTTATTTCACGATAATGGAAAAATCGTTTGTTATATAACAATCGAATAACCGAAAACAGAAAATAACCGAAAACAAATCTTGAAACTCCCCGTGGGTGACGCATCCATAATATCTGAGATTATACATACTACTACGAGAAGCAATTAGTTGTTTAATATCAGTATTTAAATATGCTCATTGGCAATAATTTGTGACGTATACATTTTTATATCGGTAACAAGTGCCTTAGTAATAACGATAATGATAAATATATTGTTTACTTACGTACTGACAATCGATGTTCATTCATTACCTCTAATTTCTCGATGATTTCTCTCTCTTTTTTTTTTTTTTTTTTTTTACATCCTTTCAAGATTACCCAAGCTCCAAAGCAAACATGTTTCTCGCGTTTCTCACATTTGAGAAATATCGCGTCGTCGTATGTATTCGTTTCTAAAGGAAAAATTCAAATCTCGAAAGGGGTCGAATCCCACGTTATTCCTTCGCCATATGACGTAACTGCCTACCATATACGGACGTAGTCAATCTCGATAGGTATGTCCCATTTACCACGCGTAGTCCCACGCAAATTGCGGAGGCATCCAAGTCTCTCATTTTTTCCCTCTAAGCCCGTCCTTGCGCTCTCTCGGCTCGCCATTGTTGTTAGTCATCGAGGCGGCCGCCTCGTTTCGCAGCCGAAATGATCGATCGACGAAAAACTGGAGAGAAGCGGGTGTAATGCCCGTGTTCTTTTTCCACGGATATATAACTCGGCATCGTAGGCATCAGCCATCGCTTCTGGGACGAGATGGAAGCGGCAGATTTCTGATTTGGCAAGGGGTGGGTTTGAACGGCGATGGGGAAGGAAGGAAAGACGGCAGTTTGCGAGGGTGGCCACGAACCCCATGACGTCCCGCACGCTCCACGAGTATTTTTATGGATTCTTCCAAATGCGTTCGATCATTCGAAACGCCGTTCCCTATTTATGTATTCCTCCCTCGTTTCCCTCGATACTTAACAAAGCCAGGATTATTCCGAACAGTGTCGATAGAGTCGTTTCCTTGCGCGTACCAATTAAAGAATAAGATATTCATCCATGATGAAAAGATACTTTTAATAAACGAATATTAATACACACATACACATATATATATATATATTACTATTATTACTATTCCTATATAGATGGAGAATCTTTGTATCTCTTCTTATAGATTTTCTAACGGAACAACCAGAATTTTTGGTTTCAGAGTTTGTTTTTTCACAAAAAAAAAAAAAAAAAAAAAGAAAAAAAGAAAGAAAGAAAAAAGAAAAAAAACTGGTTTTGTCAAATTTGTGTCGAACGGTGAACAAAAAATGATGATCCCCTGTCGAAATAGTGCGGTGAAAAAAACGGCGGCGTGGGCCGGACGAAGATTAGCGAGTGGATACCTGGCCTTTTTCAACCCTTTCTTTGCGCATCCTTTCAGCAATGGAAAGTATTCAGAGCCTCGAATTGTCCGCGCCCGCAGTTTTTTAAGGTCCTTTCAGAAGCTTGTCCACGCAAAGGACCTCCTCGGCTTATCCGGCTCCCTGTTACCTTCCCTCGTTGCTCGTGAAGCGAAGCGAGGTGAAAGCATTCTCTGGGAGCACGAGAGCTTTTTGCGATGTAACGGTAAAAGGTTATATTTCCTCGGAATGTTTTTTTTATTATTCGGCGACAAAAACTTCAACCGTGGAGGATGCGCGACTTATCATCAACACTGGAAACTGCAAACTCGAAGATAGGATTATCTTTCCTTGTTTCGAAAAAATTCGAGAAAGGATTCGAGGAAAGGATTTTTCTTTCTCTCTTTTTTTTTTTTTTTTTTTTTTTCTTTTTACGCTATAAAATAAACCCTATCTCTTCTTCGAGGGAGGGGAGGAAGAAGATATTAGAATGAAAAAAAAAAGAACACATTTGTCGTGATACAATAATAAAATCATTTATCGCCAATCTTTCGTTACGATACAGGTAGCTGCACTTGTACCCAAGCGATCCGATATGGGGTCGTGGTTTTTTGTGGATTGTGTAAAAACTCGATGGAAAAAAAATCCCCTATAGCGCGTCTAATACAAGCAAAAAAAAAAAAAGAAAGGGAAAAAAACTCCCCTTCTCTCAACAGGTTGATACCCATTGTACCAAGCGGGTTGTAATGCGAGATCGATGCTGCGCGTAAAGAAAAAAATTAAAACATCCCTCCCTGCAACAGGTTCATCCATTCACCGAAGGGGACTTTATAATCGCCCCCTTGTTGAAATCTATTTCACCCTTTCAAGCCGCCCCTATAACTAAAACACTTGTTTACACCGTGTTACACTCCTTTTTTTTTTTTTTTATTTATAACTAAACTTCTTTATCGTTACAACGAGTCCATTTTATCTTTATCTTTATTCTTATCTTTATTGTAATTATCTTCATTGTAATTACTCGATTCTATCGATATTATCGGGTATTCAGTTCATTATTTTACAATCTTATTTATCACGACGAATGCAGCTGACGCGAATCGATGTTTCATTCAAGGAATCAGTTTGCACAATACGATTTTCCGGAAAAACGTGTGGCTCGTTAGGCGAGCGGGCGCATATGTCGGCGTCCATTGGCTGGCAACAATCGAAGGATGACGTTGCAGATCGATCGGTGGTCGTCCCGTACCGCGCGGATTTCGTTTCCACCGGGGAGGGGAGGGGGGGACTTCTTTTTTTTTTTATGCGCATTTTTCCGTTCCTCCAAGGCCACTTTTCACGGCCCTCCTGTCGGTACAGTGCATTAAAACGCGTTTCTTTAAAACGGCCACCGTTTCTCGATCCTTTGTCGAGGATTTCCATTTAAACGTCATTCCGACATCGCTTCTTCATCGTCGTGATCTGCACAAATTTCTCTCGTGGAAGGATGCGAGAAAAAAAAAAATGTTTGTCCAACCGACTACGATTTCCACGTTGCGAATATCGCCGAATCCTCAAACAATTTTTATATAGCATTTTTATATAGTATTTTTTATATAAAATACAAAGAAATTGACAAAGATATTCGAGTTATTATTCCAATTTTTCTAATTAATCTATCTCAACTCGTTGATAGTATTAATTTCATTTTAGAAAATTATTTGTTAACGAGTTTGCTTAATATCGTCTAAAGAGAGATACAAAGAAATTGATAAAAATATTCGAGTTATTCCAATTTTTCTAATTAATCTATCTCAACTTATTGATAGTATTAATTTCATTTTAGAAAATTATTTGTTAACTAGTTCGCTTAACGTCTATCTAAAGAGAGATACTTTAATTAACGTAATTGATCAATTTGCTAAAACAAAAAACTTTCTCACGAAAATTTACAATCAATGTTCGCGCGTTAAATTAATTAAAATAAATAAAACACAGTTAACAGATCGATCGATCGAATTTATTTTTTTAGAAATAATCGAAAGGATGATCGGTTTCCAAGGTCGGTTAACCAAGTTGTAGAACGGTAATCCTCGCTGACAGTCGAGGAGCTTAGGTCGGCGATTAATGCGTAATAAGTGGTGGAGGAGGAACGCTCGTGCGCGGTCTCTCAAGGCGACGCGTGTGCCTCCAGGAATCCAGGAGGAAATTTAGTGGCGGGTACCTTGGCGCGCGCGCCGAGTTCCGCGTGTTCCTTTCAAGATTCTCGGATATATACGTAAAATGGCTCTATAAATAGGGTAGGAGAGGCGCAGCTGAGGCGGAAAGCGGAAATCACGGGGAAAGCACGCGTTTGGGGTCGTATCGTGTGTCGAGGCAGCGTAACAAAAAGACGGGGGGAGGGGGAAGAAGAAGAAGAAGAAGAAGAAGAAGAAGAAGAAAAAGGGAAAAAAAAAGAAAAAAAGAGAGAAAAAAGGGAGGGAAAAGGAGAAAAGAGGAGAGTTTTAGACCCGATGGGCGTCCCCTTCTTGCGGATTTTCAGAGAATTCGCTCATAAAGGATTCAAATTACTTCGAATGTCAAATTTTACTTCGAATGCCAAGATGATTCTAATAGTTGTAAAAAAAAAAAAAAAGGAAGAACAATTTTTTTACAACTTCGTTCTCGAACGAACGCAATTAGGCACAATACAGTTTGAAGTGTAAAAAGAGACTCGTGGTTTTAAAGTTTAGGACAATTAATGGTTACAAATAAATTTGAAAATTTGTCTTTTAAATCCGTTAACGTTTCTTTTTTTTTTTTTATACCAATAACCAACGTATGTCGATTATATCGATAAAATATTATGATCCATTTGGAATGGAAACAATTTTAAAATATATAAAAAAAAAATTATACGCAGAGGAAAGAAAAGAGGAAGAGGAAGGAAGAGAGAGAGAGAGAAGAAAAAAAAACGCAGCATGGTCAGAACAGTGTTTGAAAAGTGGCCAGAATTAACGCGTGCGCCTTGACCACCGTATGACCCCTCTTTTCCACCCCGCTTGTCCACCCCTCTAGCTTGGGGTGCCAGGAGGGTGCAGTGGCCCCATGCTCCGCCCTTTGAGGGCCGGCTTGCCCCTCGCCAGTCGATACAAAAAAAAAAAAAAGAAAGAAAAAAAAGAAAAAGCCTATATAAATGAAAATGATCAGAGATACACGTGGTTTTCTCGGTGGAAACGGAAAATCCGATTACCAAAAACGGTAATACGCTTGAAATATCTCCAGCGGCGTTGTTGTAATCCGTTGTAACGAGGCGTGGATTACCCCGCTTAAAATTGTTTTCTTCTTCCACCATGCTTCGTCAATTCAAACAGATTCAAAATATTAGAAAACTCGGATCGATTGCCTCGCACAGAAAATAGAATTGGTATCGTCTATCGTGTTCGATATAATCGTATCCTCTCTACAATTACAATCGAGGCGACGCGAGGTGATTAAACTTTTTCTTAAACCGATCGATGAGCCACCCTATTCATCCTTGATTCACATACGACGCATACGAAACGTTGTTATTAGACACCGGGGACTCGGTCATTAAGGCCAGGCACACGCGAGGGGGAGGGGGTGTCCAGTTTTCCGAAAATGGGGTGAAAATGCGATGCCAGGCATTTTCTCACCCGGCCGCGGATTCAGGGAAGAGAGAACGGCTGCGGCAGATTTTCGTTTTCGAAAATCATTCTCTCTCCCTCTATCTGGCTCCGCTTGGGGCCTGGATCCGAGTGGACAATGGTCACGTATGCTTCCATCTATAAATCTTGTATTGTCCGGCGCCGATGTTTAGTCGCCCGCATATTAACCCAGGGGTGAAAAGGCCGTGCACCCGGCATTGTTCAATAGTTGACCCCTCTC